GCATGCTTCCCTTTAACGTTTGGCGGGCGCTCCACAGTACCTCACTCTTGCTTTGGGCTCAGATGACATTTTTTTTCTCATCCCATATCCTGGATAGCATCTTTCATGTCACATTTTGCATTCAAGTCACAGTTGGGCATGGGCTGCAGTCTCTTTGGGTTCAGCACATAGCTTCCCGTTGCCATTTGGATGGCCCATGATTCTGGTTCTTGCATGGTGTTTGGGGCTTTGCAGCCAGAAGAATATCGGGGTTTTTAATTCAGGGGGCAGCCTGAAGCATCCATGCACTTCCCCCAACTCTATCCAGTTCATGGTCTTTCTCCTATCGGTCACGGAGCAGGAAAGTGAATCCCAAAGAAGGGAAGTGACCTGTTGGAAGTCACAAAGAGAGTAAATGGAAGAGCTGGGATCCAAGTCTTTGTACTTCATATTCAGGGTTCTTTCAACAGCACCAGGCTGCTTCTAAATGGAAGCCTAAATCTGCCTCTTCACCACTTCCATCCATGGTACTTAGCTCTGCCCTCTAGCATTGGGCAGACTAAATCGAATCACCTTTTTACATGGCAGCTCCTCAGATACTTGAAGCCAGCTGTTACATCCTCCACCACCTTCTCTTTAGTTTCTTCAATCTTCCCATCCCATGGCCTTGAGTTATGTGTGTGTAAGGAAACAGCCTGGGCCAGCCCCACTCAGTCATAGAAGTGAGAGCCAGGGGCTCTTTGGCAATCCAGTGAAGCCTGTGGACCTCAAATCAGAAGCAGGTTTTTAAGTGTGTGAAATAAATTCTGTAGGATTTCAAAGGATGCCAAAAGATAGTGAAAATTAAGATGTCATTTTTTTCCACTTTCCAAATTCACGGACGCTCCAAAATCTATCCACAGTCCCCTTGGGGCTCTTGAATCCCAGTCGGGGTAGGAACCCCAGATTTTGAGCTAGGAGGGACCATAGAGATCATCTGGTCCAATCTCCCCATTTTACAGCCTAGAGAAACTAAAGCCTAGGAAAGGGAGGAAACTTGTTTCAGGTCAGACATGTAATAGAAGCAGGGTCTCAAACTCAAGTCTGCTAACCCCTGAATCCACTGTTTATTCCCTTGTCTCAAGACCTCTGCCTATTGGGGAGTTGATGGGAGCCTGGTGTGTGAAGGCAAGCCTGTGATATCTCAGCTGATGACTTTGACTAGCTTTTAACGCACCCCTCCCCCGCTCCTAAGTGTGAGGCTATTGTTGGGGGAAGGGATTGGATGATGACGGGACTCCAAAGTCATTAGGGTGCACTATTTCTCCAGTCTCAGACAAACATCCCTTAGCCCCCGATCAAAGTAACAAAGCGTTTCCACACCCTCTCTGCTTCTCTCTCTGTCCCTGTCCCAGCCCCCTCTGTGTGCACATAAACCATCAGCTTAGTCTCTTCTTGCCATAGGCCTTGATGCTTACAAACAATGTAGTGAGGTTCTCCTCTCTCCTCCTCCCACCTTTCCAGTCCCTCTGGACCTTGGGGACCCAGGGCCACACATTTGTTCTTGGCCCTTGGGCACAGTAGCATTCAGGACTCACTACCCTGGGGCCTGTCCTCAGCGGGCAGAGAGCTCACACATGCCATCTTTTCCCCATTAATAAGTAATCTCCTTTTGCGATCAGGTTCTGATCTGACTTCCTTCTGGTCTTCAGTGTCTGGTACATAGTAGGCACTTAATAGTTGTTGGATTCCCAGGTATATTAAATGATGATTTTTTTAAATCATAAGACCAGCCAAAAGGAGCTTTAGAGATAGCTTGGGAAACGTCTTAATTTTTACAAAGGGAAAGGAAATGGCTTGTCCAGTGTTACCCAGGAGACTCTGAAGGGTCTTCAAAACACAGAGAGAGCTCCTTCCGTTGCCTGACATTTCCATAGCCTTTGCAGGTATATAAAATGTTTTCTACACAGGTATGTTGTGAGGCAGGTCATGCCAAGTCGTCTTCTCCTTTCCCCTATTTTACAGATGGGGAAATTGAGGCTCAGACTTGACTTTTCTAAGGTCACGAAGCTGTATAAGGGAACTAGAGTCAGAGAGTTTAGTTAACTAGGCTGTAAGCTGGGGTGTAAGCTGTGACCATGCTTATCTGAGTTTAATCTCTCTTCCAGTGCTGAGCACAAGGTTCTGTATATACCCATGATTAAAATCTCTCTGCTTTCTAGAGTGCTTTCGCAGGTTGTAAAGTGTTTTCTTCACAACAGCCCTCTGAGGCAAATAGTAGAGAATTCCTATCTTCATTTTACAGAAGAGAAAACTGAGGCTTAGGAGTGCTTATGCCATTTGCTTATGTTCACATAGCTGTATAACAGTATCAAAATCACGACCTGAACCCATGTCTTCTGATTCAATCAAATTCAATAAGATTTTATTTTTTAAATTGTTGGTATCTTTTGGTTTTTATTTATGTTTTAATAACATTTTATTTCCCCCAATTACATGTTAAAACAATTTTTAACATTTTTTAAAAAAAGTTTTGAGTTCCAAATTCTATTCCTCCCTCTCTTCCTCCTTCCCCTCCCCCCAGGTGGTAAGCAATCTAGATATCTTTTGTTCTTATATCATCTTCATTTCTGAACATCTCCCTTGTTCTTCCACAACTCAACAAGCCATCCCTTGTAACAAGAATGAGAAAATAGTAAAAAGAAACGGAAGAAGGAGAAAGGCAGTTAGCTAAATTAACCAACTGAGTCACAGCATATGTAATGCTCCTCTGCCTTTGCAAAGAAGGAAAGGAGGGACATCATTTCTTTCTTTAGGGACGAGGTGAGTCATTAGAATTATACAGTATTTAGTTTTGTTTTTCAGTATGCACTTATTAGACACCTACCGTGAGCCAGCCACTATGCTAAGTACTGGTAAAGTAGTCAACGGAGAGATCAACCAGAAAGCTCTAGGAAAATGTGAGTGGGGAGACCTCACTTTTAGCTGATAGGAGAGGGCTTCCTGGGGTACCTGACCTGGCGGGCCACACATGTGGCCCACATGCACACATACCTGCTTCCCCTAGATATCAGTGGGTGCATATTTCCCTTGCGCATAAGGTAACAGTATATATTGAATATTTGAGGCAAATAAAAGTTCCACCTAAACACGTGTCTACCAACTAGCTTTTGAGCATGTGGAATTTTAATATAATAAAATAACAAACATTCCCGTGCCAAGCATGTAGAAAGAAGATGGAAGGGTAGTCATTGTGCCTTTGCAGAGTCCTGTTGAACTATTTCTGAAATTTGAGACACGTTGCCAAGAGATCCTTAGCTCAAAGGCCCCAGACTAAATGCCGAAATTTCAGATCACCCTTGGGGGTGGGGTAAGGGGGGCAGGAAGAAGGAGAGAGAACAGGGGCACTGCCCCTGGTTTGCTTATCCCTGTTTCTTGACCTCTCTCCTCTTTTCTTTTCTCAAGTCATCTTTGTGCCAAGAATGGACTGTTAGTTTCTTGAAGCCCTTCCTTGCTTTGGGGCATTTGAGATGGTGTGAAAAGAGTATGGGACCTGGGAATAAGAAAATATGAGTTTGAATCCTGGTTTATAAGTGGGTGGGTCCTCCTTGGAGCCTCAGCTTCCCCCTCTGCAAAATTCGAATAGCAAACTTCCCACTGCCTCCATGAAGAGAGCTGTGAGGAGGAATGTGCTTTGTAACCTTCTAAAACTACTCTCAAATTGGGACTTGCTATTATTCTGGCCAGGCAAAGGTCATGCTCTTCCCACTGACTTCTGGCCCAGTACAAGAGGTGGCTTGTTATGCCCATTTTCCAGATGGCAAGGGGGAGGAAGGGAGGACAACAGCTGGGTTTAGCATCCAGACTAAGTGATAGGTAGAGTTCCAGGCACCAGAGCTAAAGGGGTCTTGGTATGTTGGTTGAATCTTGATTACATGAGCCCATGGAGCAGTAAGAAGGGAGACTGGCATGGTTGGAGTGGAGGCAGCATGTTGGAGAAGAAGGTTAGAAAGGGAGAGCAGAAACAAGATGGTAGAGGGCTTTGAATGTCAGGCTTAGGAGCTTGGCTTTTGTCCTGAAGGCAATGACTTTTGATCAGGGCAGTGATATCTCAAAAATAGTATGTCAGGAAGGTGAACCTAGTGGGGGTGGGTGGAACAGAATGAAGGAGGGTCTCTGTTGGTAGTGCCACCATGCCACCTGTCATGAAGGCTTCAAATCTCAACGTCATCTTTGACTTCTGTCTTCCTCATCCAATGTATCTGGCCAGTTGCTGAGTCTTGTTGACTTATTTAATTATTTCTTGCCATCCTCACTACTGCCACCTGTCACCTCAGTTCAGGACTTCTTTACTTGTTATTTGCCCAGTCTTAACAGAGCTTCTTAAACAGGTCTCCCTGCCTGTAGGTCTCTCCTCTTCCCTTCCCCAGCTGCCTTTCCAGTACATCCTGCATGTACCATCATTCAAAGGTCTCCATTGTTACGGCCCCAATTTATCTTCTCAGTCTTCTCTTACTAGGCACTACATTTCAGCCACACTGGTTTCCTCTGCCTCCCTGGTTCTTTCTTGTCCCGAATGAACTGTCGGTTTGTCGAAGTCTTTGTTTCAGGGCCCAATTCATATAGTACTTTCTCCATCAAGCCTTCTATGGTTTACCTCTCACCTTCTCACAGGTGAAAGTGATCAGTGATCTCTCTTCCTTCTTAAATTTATCGCAGCCCTAGGCATGGCTCTCTCCTTTACCCAGAGTTCATTTTCCTTTATTTCGTAGTTATTTGTATTGCTGTCTTATTCCAGACCATCCTTCCTTCAGTGGACTGTTAGTTTCTGGAGGGCAGGAGTTGGGCTATTCCTGAAGCACAGGGGGCTAAGTAAGGGCGGTTTAATCCACATGCGCTGAATGAGGTTGTTTCTCCAATAGACCAAAGAGTGTCTCTTTCTCCTTCCTTTGCTTTTTTGGTATAGCTGAGCAGGGTGCAGGGGTGCTCAGTTCCTCCTCTTCCTCCCTTGACACTCCCCACCTGCTTCTTTTCTTCCCCAGGTGATCAAGGCTGGTGTGGAGACCACCTGCAAATGTCACGGGGTCTCCGGCTCGTGCACCGTCCGCACCTGCTGGCGCCAGCTCTCACCATTCCACGAGGTGGGCAAACAGCTGAAGCAGAAATACGAGGCCTCCCTCAAGGTAGGGAGCACCACCAATGAGGCGACAGGTGAGGCTGGAGACATCCCGCCTCCGCGAAGGGCCCTGGGTTCTTCCGGGCCCGGCAGCGACCCTCTCCCGCGCACGCCAGACCTGGTGCACTTGGATGACTCCCCCAGCTTCTGCCTGGCGAGCCGGTTCTCCCCGGGCACAGCTGGCCGGAAGTGCTACAAGGACAAGAACTGTGAGAGCATGTGCTGTGGGCGTGGGCACAACACGCAGAGCCGGGTGGTGACTCGGCCCTGCCAGTGCCAGGTCCGCTGGTGCTGCTACGTGGAGTGCAAACAGTGCACCCAGAGAGAGGAAGTCTACACCTGCAAAGACTGACCGCCTGCCGGGCCAGCCGTCTGCCCGGGTGGGAGAAGACAAGACTCCGCTCTGCCTCTGGCCTCGAGACCGACACGCAGGGTTTGACAGGGGCGGTTCTTAGATTCAGAAGGCAATGTTGATGATGTAAGCACTTTTGTGTGTGTGTGTGTGAGTGCGTGCGCGTGTGTGTGGTTGTGTGTGCCTGTGCGCGCGCAGAGGGCTGGTGGGGTTACCCAGCTGTACTGATCTTCAAGCCCTTCCCTCTCTTCCTTCCCTCCCATCCACACCACCCTTAGACTCTGGGACCCCAGCTGCCAACCCAGTCTGAACTGTTCTAACAAGTGTCTCTGTCCACTCCCTCCCCAATTCCATGTATTTTTCTCCCACTTCTTTACTTGCTGACTATCCCCCCAAACCGAGGTAAGAAGTCCAGGACGTTAAGTGGGACTCCTTCCATTCCTGCACTCTCTTCTCCAAGTCTGGCTTTGGTCAGGGCTGAGGGAACAGAGAGAGTAAGAGGAGGGAGTCTGCTAGGTCTCTCTCTCTCTCTCTCTCTCTCTCTCTCTCTCTCTCTCTCTCTCTGTCTGTCTGTCTCTCTCTCTCTCTCTCTCTCTCTCTCTCTCTCTCTCTCTCTCTCTCTCTCTCTCTCTCTCTCTCTCTCTCGGAGACCAGAGAGGAAGAGGGAAGCTAAAGGTCCTTATTGAAGCCAGTACTACCCAAAGTGTCTGGAGTGGCAGGGAAACAGAATTTTTAAGCTGGAAGGGACTCTACAATGCAACCCCCTGAAGCATCAGGAGGTGAGGAACCGAACTTTGCCCACAGTCTCATTAGCAAGAGAGAGTGCAACCTGGGCATCAAAACCGGTCCTAGGGCAAACCTTGGAGCAATAACTGAGTCATCATTGGAGAAAGGGAGATTTTCACCCAATGTATGGGAAGGACTTTCTTAATGATGAGAGATGCCCTAAGGTGGAACAGGCTTTTTGAGCATGTAGTGAATTCTCCTTTGCTAGAGGTCAACTGTGACCACTTGTTGGAGGACACTGTTTCAGGGATTCATGCTTGGTTTACAGGTTGATCATGGAGAGAGGCTGTCTGAGCTCCCATCCAGCTTAAACGTTTTGTGATCCTATCTTCTGGCTTCCATAGAATAGGGCCCTTTCCACACTCCCCAGATCTCCCCGTGGCTCCTCACCAACAGGGTGATGGAACACAGGAGGTCTTCAGAACCCCAACGAGACAGGAGTCCAGAGGAGGAAGGCTCATGACTCTCCCAGCTGGTTCCCTAAGTCCCTTCCCTTTCTTGGCACTATCGCTGACTTTGGAAAGCAAGACCACTAGAAGGCTGTCTTCAGAGTCTTTGTCTGAATCAGGGAATTGGACCCTCGGCCCCTTTTCCTTCCCCGCTCCTGTTCTACCAGCGGATTGAGTTAATTGGATTTTCCCTTCCCTTCTTTTCTAGAATGACACCAGGCACTTCTCTTCTAGTTAGAGCAAATGTCAGTGATTATTTTTTTGTTGTCATTTGTTATTATTATTAATATTCTTCTTCTTCTTCTTCCCTACCCCTTGCGCATTTTGTCTCATACATGCGCACATTTCCTACTTCTGAAGGGATGGGCAGAGTCTGAATGGCGGCAGTAAGACCCTCACATCTAGAGAAGGGAATTGTATGCGTCTGGCCTTTATCCATTGATGTGTCCAAGTGGTATAGCTGGCCCAGCCCCTGCCTCTCCCTTGCCCTGCTCCCTTCTTCCTTCCTTGACTCTGCTTCATGTTTTTTTTTTCCTGGAAACCACTAAATTAAAGATTTTTTTTTTCAAATAAAACAAAACAAAAAAGACATAAAAACACACACAAAGACACAAAACTGTTCCTCTTTAGTAATCTGGGATAGTGAAGCCCAGTGCCCTTTCTGTGTGAGTGGAGGGGGTAACATCATGAGGACTGACCTTTCTCTCCCCCAATTAAAAAAAAAGTCATGCTTCTAAAGCCGTGAAGTGGAATCCAACGCTGCCCCCACCCCATGTCCTCCTAGGAACCCTTGAGTGCACTGGGATTCAGTGAGGCATCTAGCCCTTTAGCAACAAGCCTGGGCTTTCATGAGCTGCTGGCCAGTGGTCCAGGGTTCCTAGTGTGGGCTGAAGAAGTGATAACCAGGATGCCCTTCGGATTTGTTCTGCCTTTCCTTGATATTGTAAGATTTGGCTGAGTTTTTTTTTTTTTTTTGGCCAGATTCTCCTGAACTTGGCCTTGAGAGATGGGAGAACGAAAGGCCTGGGGAGGAAGGGGTTCATGAAGATCCTTTTGGTGTCTTAATTCGTGTAGTAGCCCCTGTTTACTGTTGTGCTTCTACTTCAGAGTTGGATTGGGGGAGTGGGAAGAGAAATTCTGGGGTGAGATTTTCTAAGATTGGTGGGGAATGGGAGAGAGAGAAGAAATTCTCTTAGGTTGAGATTATATGAAGCACATGCTATTTCTTTTGGGTGTTTGGGGATCAAGACTTACTGGGGTGGTAAGAGGGTGGGGTTGCGGAGACAAAGGACTTGAGCTGACCTGAGGTTTGGGTTTTTTTTTTTTTTGGTGGTGAAGTGGGGTAGGGGATGGCTTTAGGTTGGCGGAGGAGGAGGTGCAATAAATGAAGCCATATGTAAAACACCATTTTATTGGCAAAGCTGGAATAGGATTGAGCAGGAAGGGCTGCATTACTGGGCAGCCCTCCCTGCTCTCAAGATATCTATTTATTGTCACAAACTTTTCCAAAGAAACTTCTGGTTTGAACGTGGAATCCTTAGGCTCAGTTGTGAGGCCCTGCCTATGTGTGTCTCTCTCCCTCTTCATTCTCTTGCATGCTGAAGTCAGTCAACAAGCATTCGTTAAGTGCCTACTATGTACCAGGCACTGTGCTAAGTGCTGGGTATATAAAGAAAGGCAGAAGACAGCCCCTGCCCTCGAGGAGCTCACAGTCGAAGTGAGGTCCTTTCTCTTAGGGTTCAGGAAGGCAGATAGATACCAGAATAGCTTTTGGGGTCATGTTACCTGGAGATAGTTCTTAGGTCATAGAATTTAGAGTTATTCCACCATGCCTAATTGTGTGTTTTAGAGGTAAAGGGTAAAGGAGCTGAATGGGTAATACAACAGCTTGTGACAGTGTTTTATATATTTTATATATATATATATATATATATAAATATATGTATATTTCTTTTTGTGTGTATATGTATGTGTGTGTATATATGTATATATGAGCAATGTGTGTATGTATGTATGTATATATATAAATATAAAATGTATGTGTGTGTGTATAATTTTTCTTTTTCCAAGCCATGTGTTTGACAGGTGAGAGACAAGAGCTAGGAGATTATTAGAGAAAAGTACAGTCAGGAGCAGACATGAGGAACTACTGAAAGGGAACTCCTGGTGTCCTAATTCACACACTGAAGCCTGGAGAGTCACTGTATTTAAAACAAAACAAAACATATTTATATTAATGTAGATATATCACTTTCCTGTTATATATTGTAAATAGTAAGGTTTATTCTCCTGTGGTCTGGAAGAAAAAAAAGAAGCAAGAAAAATATTGAAATAAAATAGTACAGACTCACCTCATATACTAACAGGTGGCATATGAATTCTGAGCTCTCCAAAGTTGGAGAAATACCAGTCAGGACCTAAAGGCAGCATAGAGACCATAGATTTAGCGCTGAAGGGACCTTCAAGGTCTATTCCTGCCCCCCCATTCCCCTTGCCACCCATTTTACAGAGGAGGAAACACTGAGACCCACACCTAAGAAGTGACTTGGCCAAGGTCATATGGGCTAGTATTAGCAGAATATCTGGTTCTAAGTAGTCAGTGTTCTTTCTACTACACCAGTGAGCCTAGAATAGGGGATGGGGGCTTGTCCGTGAGTTAGGTTTTCATTTTGCTTGACTTGTCCTCTGTTTGCTTAATCTCCAGCTACATGCTAATGGGTATTTTGGGGGAGAAGGGGAGAATGCAGACAAGGGAAGCCAAGTTTAAAGGTTTTTTAAAAAATTATTTTTAAAGGAAACAACCCTCCTCCCCTGCCCTCTGCCTTGTACTCTCCCAAAACTTATTGGCAGATATAACTTTCAAAAGGGTTGGGGTTGGGAAAGAGGGGCTCCTTCTGTCATCCTTCCATTCCCCATTCCTTTTGAAATTGTTAGGCTCTGCTGAGGTGGAGGGAAGAAGCTATTCATACCCTCAATGACAAGACTGCCCAGGCCGAGGCACAGGGCATCCATTTATTTATGTTTCTTTAGGGGAAGGTCCCAAGATGAAGGAAGAGGATTTTTAAAAAATCAATTATCTCATTTAGCTTTATTTCAAAAATGTTAAGAAAATGTAATATTTTTTTAAACAAGGCAAATCAAAAATGTTTGCTGGTTTGTTTATTTTATGTGTGAGTGTATTATATGTGTGTATTGTATTGTGTTATGTATGTATTGTGTTATATGTGTCTATTGTGTTATGTGTGTGTTGTGTATGTGTGTGTATTATGGGGTGTATGTGTGTGTGTGTGTGTGTGTGTGTGTGTGTGTATGTATGTTCAGATTTAAGTGAAGTGGTTCTCTGTCTGTATCTATTAAACTCATGGGCTCTTATTTATTGGACTTGTGTGACCGAAATTTCTAGGAGGAAAAAAATAAATATATGTGTGTGCGCGCATATATATATATATATATATATATATATATATGTATGTATATATAATGTGTATATATGTATATATATGTGTATATATGTGTGTATATGTATATATATGTATATATATATATGATGGATGGATGTATATACATAAATATTTTGTCAGAGTAGTCCTTTTTACCAATGCAGATTACAGGACTTAAGAGGTAAGTCTTCATGTGTTTAAAGTACCCCAAAGTTAAATGATTTACCCAAAGTGACCTAACTAGTGTCAAAGATAGGATTTGAACCCAGGTTTTCCAGATTGCGGGCCCAGCTCTCTTTCCACTACACTTTAATGCCTCTGAGGTATAGAGCCCTACCTAAAGCAGGGTGACTGGGGCTTTGCCCAAGGGTGTGAAATTTAGAGGCACTGACAGCATTTGCAATTTTTTAGGAGTGGGGATTAAAGAAGAGCTTAGCACTTAAGCAAAAATAATTAGTCTAAACCAGAAACTACCAGATGGTTAGCTGTGTCCCCCTGACACCCTGCACCACCACCACCACCCAGCACACACAAGGGGCAGTGTCCAACCTGGCACTCTTCCCTCTCCCTTTCTACTGACGATGCCTTTCCTACCACTTGTCAGGATTTTGTGTTCCTTGCCCTGGATGAAAAAATTCCCGGTGAGGGTTCTGCACACGTATGTATGGAGAAGGAATCCAAAAGAAGCCTGAAACTTCAGTCTTCTCTCTGGAAAGCCTATCAACCCTGCCAAGAACTAAGAACACGTGTTCTTCCCCACCTCTGGCCAAGCGTAATGGGCCCATAGCTCCAGAAGGCATTAGTTCAAGGGGTGTGTGTGTGTGTGTGTGTGTGTGTGTGTGTGTGTGTGTGAGAGAGAGAGAGAGAGAGAGAGAGAGAGAGA